AGAGGAAAGAGCACAACACCCAAAAAATACAATGACGGCTCACGTGTTTGATCTCTCACTGTTAAATCAGCCTGTCGGGAACAACCAATGAAGAGGGGAAGGAAAAAAACGAAAGCAAAAAGAAAAAAATTGCGTTTTGAAAGAAAAAGGTTGATCTTTTTTGATGTTGGTGGGCGCTCGTCGGTGCAGGCATTTTCCCCTCGTCTACGCTTTTAAAACGGCCTGGCGCGCTTTCTCGAGAAACTCTCCCATTTGCTCCTCGCTAACGCCACCAAAGCGACAAATGGAGCGGATGGGCATGTTGTAGATCAGCTCGTACATATCACTGCCTTCCTTCAGCCCAGCCATTCCCATCTTCGTGGCGAGCGCCTCCGCAAGCGGCGCCATTCCCGGAAATTGGGCCACAACCTTCAGTGAAACGTTGCGGTGGATTTCTGGTATTTCCTTCACTACTTCTTTAGTTGCCTGCACCTGCGCCTGTAGGCGAATGTCGCGCGACGAAGACCCAACGAGAATAGTGTAGGTGCGGCTGTGCATGCGCCACTGCTTCTTTTCCACGTCGTAATAGGAGAAGGAACGTCTGTCAAGCTCAAATGTCACCCGCATAGATTCATCGGGCTGAAGGGCCAACTTCGCAAACTCCTTGAGTTCCTTCGCAGGACGCACAACCTCCGCGTGCGGGTCATGGACGTACAGCTGCACAACTTCCTTGCCGGCCACCTTCCCCGTGTTCTTCACCGTCAGCGCCACCGACACGGAGACGTCGTGGGGAGCTCCTTGCCTAGCCTCAACCACCAGGTCGCTGTACTGAAACTCAGTGTAGCTGAGGCCATGACCGAACGGAAACAGTGGTTCGATCCCCTTTGTGTCATAGTAGCGGTAGCCGACGAGGATGCCCTCGCGGTACTCTGCGTCCTTCTTGCTCGGATAGAATGGGAACGGCGGGGTGTCGCACACTCTCTTTGCGAAGGTTTCGGCAAGCTTCCCTGACGGGCAACAGACACCAAACAAGATGTCCGACACTGCACCGCCACCTGCCTGGCCGGCAAGGTATGCCTCCAGAACGGCCGGCACGCGCTCAATCCAGGGCATATCCACTGGGGCGCCGTTGTGCAGCACCACCACCACGTTCCGCTGCACCTTGGCAACAGACTCAATCAGCCTGGCATGGCTCTCAGGGAGATGCAAATCCTCACGATCGGCTGCCTCCAACTCTCGCAAAAGCCCGACGAAGAGCACCGCCACGTCGGCCTTCTGAGCTGCCGTCACAGCATCGTCCAAGAGACCCATACAGACCTCCTCCTTCATCGCCTCATAGCCGCTCGAGAATGTAAGGTGCTTCTCGCCGACAAGCTCACACATGGCGTCCCAGGCGCACTCCGTTCGCGTGGCGTTCACCAACGAGCTTCCAGCTCCCTGAAAGCGCGGTGACTTTGCGAACTCACCAATGACGGCCACGCGCGCCGCACCACGCCGCAGCGGGAGCAAGCCACCCTCGTTCTTAAGCAGCACCATCGCCTCATGGGCAACATGGCGCGCGAGAGTGTGATGTGCGTCCCGGTCAAAAGTGGCATTGGCAACCATAGTTCGCTGACTTTTGGCATTCAGCTCGAGGATGCGCTTCACAGAAGTGTCCAGCACCTTTTCGTCGAGCTCGCCGCTCTTAATGGCGGAAAGAACCTTGGCGGTGGTGAGACCGTGGCAGCTTGGCATCTCGAGGTCGAGGCCGGCGCGCAACGCCGCCACACGGTCGTCCACCGCGCCCCAGTCAGACACCACCAAGCCTTCGAATCCCCAATCCTCGCGCAGAACTTTATTGAGAAGCCATTCATTCTGCGAGGCGTACACACCATTCAAATGGTTATATGAACACATTACCGTCCACGGCTTTGCCTCTTTCACGGCGTACTCGAAACTTGCAAGATATATCTCGCGAAGGGTGCGTTCGTCCACAACGGAGTTGCTGCAAGTGCCGCGGTTAGTCTCTTGGTTGTTCGCGGCAAAGTGCTTCATCGACGTACCCACGCCCCCATTTTGCACGCCCTTGATGAATGCGGCGGCGATGCGGGAGCTCAGGAACGGGTCCTCCGAAATGTACTCAAAGTTGCGACCGCACAGAGGTGAACGCTTGATGTTTGCGCCAGGGCCCAACAACACCGCCACTTTCTCAGCATGGCACTCCGCCGCCAACGCCCGACCCATTTCAGATACTAGTTCACGGTTCCATGTCGCGCCCAATCCCACAGCAGTTGGGAAGCAGGTTGCGGGAACACCTCGCAGAAATGACTCACCCTCTTGCACCTCCACCGACTTCCGCAGTCCGTGCGGCCCATCAGTCAATAATAGGGGCTGCACTCCAAGCCGCTCAACGGCAAAGGTGTGCCAAAAGTCGGCGCCCGTGGATAGTTTGGCCTTCTCCTCCAGCGTCAGCTTGCGCAGCAGCGTGTCGGCGTTCTCCATCGCACTGCAGAAGAAGAAAAAAACGGCTTATAAAACAAGATTGGATTTCGTTTGGATGAATAATCTATCGCCAGAAAAAGCACAATGAGAAAGGGGCAAAGCTCCGCTCGTCGTACCGGCACAAAAATAATAAACAGAAGACAGCACACGCGTGCAGGACAAGCGTCACCGCTGACCCTGCACGGCAACGGAGGCCCCAGCAGCCACACGGAGGTGTGTGGGGACATCGAGGAAGCCCAGCGCCCACGCCCTTGCCGTCACCCGCCAAAGGCCCTCACTCACGGCCTCCCAGCCACCACCTCAATCCAGCAGAAAAGGCCCACACGCCACGGGCCCCGCGAGCGCGTCACGCATACTCAACCGGCAGCCAGCTGCAGCAGCCGTACAACTCCCGGCGCCAGTCCCTCCTCCCACGCCACTCGCAGCCGCCCCTTCGCCAACAGAAAACATACTCCCTCACAGTGTCGGGTTCGTGCGCATGACTCGGCCTTCTTCTGGTCGCCGCATGGGCGGACGGCACGCGCAAGAGGAT